GAGGCAGCTGATCAATGATTCTCTCTCATTGTTGATATTTCTATCTTTCTCTCCTCCCTTCCTCTCTGAAATAAATAAAAACATTTAAAAAAAAAGGGAGAGTGAGAGGGAAAGGGAAAGGAAGGAGATCAGATTCATATGTTCTATTACAGTATATTGTTATAATTGTTCTTTTTAATTATGTTATTGTGAATCTCTTACTGTGCGTAATTTATAAATTAAACTTTATTATAGGTATGTATGTATGTATGTATGTATGTATAAGAAAAAGAGTTCTATGTAAACGGTTTGGTACTGTCCATGGTTTCAGGCATCTACTGGGGTTTTTAGAACAAATCCCCCAAAGATAAGGGGGGATTTCTCTATATTCCTTACCCTTAAAGAGCAGAAAAATCATCCAGTATCCACCACCACTGTGTTCTAATGCCGTAAGGTTTGTGCTGAAAGGAATAATGACACTGAGTGTGTTTTACACAGTCATTACCTCTTTTTATTTCACAAAACTCACATTTCCTGTAAATCATAGGCTGTGGCTTCCTGGCAAGGATTTATAGTTTCTAGAAATAAGTGCCCTGCTATGATGAATACCTTCCACCTATGCTTCTGATGAATAGATCACAAGGGCCTCCTTAGGAAATGTTTTTGTGCAGTTTTGAGAAGAGTGTTTATTGTGTAAAAGGAAGAGGGGCAATATCAGATTATTTTATAACTCTAATCTTAAAATGTGCTTTCCCTCTGTCATCTCTCCACCACCCGCCTCCCCCTCCCCGTGTCTCATTCCAAAACCCCAGAATCTCTCTCCCTGGTAGGTTATCAAATCCATTTCCATTCTCTGCTGTTACTTGTTATAACACCCTGGTTAGGCATGCCAAGACAATGATTTGGCATCGGATACTCCTCCTATAAAAACTAAATCCCCGCATTATGTGGATTATACTCTGACCAGATGTATGCTTTTTGGGCCAAATAATAGCTTTTAAAAATGGAACCATTTTACGTAAGTTCCAGCTTACTTGCAACTGGGTGATTTGGTAACACTAGGTCCTGACCCTTGCGTGGTACACTCAGCTAGAGCTAAGCAGCAGGGCCCTTTAAAAGAATAATTTGCTCTTTGAATCACCATCATCCTTATTTAGCCAATTCACTTTCTGTCTCCATTGGTATTGAGTTTGCAACACCTTCTCTTACCAATAAGGAAAGAAAGGTCTCAGGGATTAACTTATCCAAGGCTACACAATTCTGAAGCAGCAGACCTGGACCTGAAGCCTGAGTTCTCCTGTCCAGCGCTCTGATATCTTTCTAAGTTGCTGCTCTCCAGCTAGTCTTGTCCTTGCCAAGCTCCAGTGCATCATCACTGTCTTTCTCATAGCGTGGCATTTGCCCCAATTTGTAGGGTTCTATCTAATTCTCTGCATAGAAATGGTCCCTAATGGTTCTCAAGGAGTTTGTAAGAGATAATGTTCCTCTCTTAGTAAAGAATCAGAGAGATGGGAGACTGGGGGCTCCTCACTTCCACTTAGGATGTAGAAAAGCATGAGGCATTGATCTCCCTCTAACACCAAGATAACATCAACAAACTACATAAACTACAAAAAAATTGTATTTGTAAAACCTATCTGATTGCCGAGGATACAAAGAAATCCAGATGTACTGAAATCCAGACCATCCTTCTGAGGAGAGTGGAGATCTACAGTTGCTTTCACTTTTGGAGGTGTGGTGGGAGGAAGAGGAATTGGCCAGGAGTGGGCTGACTTGACTTATGGGGACCCCAAAGAATCCAGTTATAGAGTGAGTTGCACTTTCCTACCACCATTTGGCCCCAGCCTTCACTGGGTGAAGAGGGGCCGTGTGCTGAAGTTGGACAGGACAGGAGAGCTGAATGAAATCCCTCTGAGACACTCCAGACCTTTGGCCAGGGCTGGGCAGCTCTTGCCAATGGTGGGAACAGGACCACAGGGAGGAAAAAAGATCAAAGTGCAGAGAGCCAGGGGTGATACGAAAGAGCAAAGGAGATGCTCCGCAGCTCAAAAAGTTGACAGGCCATGAAATTTAGAGAGTTCTGCGGAGTCTCATGGGTGCTAAGATCCCAAGCCCTGCCACAGGGCCAGTCCTGAGATCACTCACACATTTGAAGTCAGTAGTGAGCAAAATCTAACTGAAGTTGCAACCAAGTTGCAGCAAAAGCCAACCTAACTCAAGTTGAGAATACTGCTTTGCGGCAGAAGAGTTTTCTACCCAAGAGTTGAATTCTGGAGCTCATAGACCCGGATGGATCAGGTGGAGTCAAATCCACCCCCTTCCCTGCCAAATGTGCCCCAAGCATTGCAGGTCATTCCCGGCAAGATCCACACCTCATTCCACAACTAATGTCCACTAATAATTTGCATTCATTCTGGGGACACTGTATGTTTTTGTACTCAGTATAATGGAAAGCTAAAGGCAGATCAATGAGAGAGAGAGTGGTCTTCTTTGGCAAAAAGTACTCAAGATGGGCAGAAGGGAGCTGTATAGTTAAATACATAATGACTTGACCTCACCTAATTTATCATAGAAGCATATCTTCAGAGAATTGTTAGTTCTTAAAAAATAATTCAACTAATTACTGTTTTTGTTTCCAAATGTCTCATTAGAGACACTATGAACCTTAGAACAGTTCCTGATGCAAGATTTAAAGGCTAGAAAATCATTATTTTCCATTACCCAACAGACTTTTTGCCAGAAACAAATGTCCAGCGAGGGATTTGAGGGAATAAAACAAATCATTTCTATTTCATTGATCTTAGCGTCTTCCTGAAAACCCGATCATTAAATGTGTTCTTCCTCAGTGAGTGCGGGGGACACAAGAGTTTCTAGTGCTATTGGGTGTCCACCTTCCCTCCTTCGGCTTTGAACCCCCTTCTCTGAACATTTGTAGTTGGCCTTTCTCTGTGTATGACTTTTTAGATTAAATCTTTTAAATGCTTAGTCAACGGAGATCTGCAGGCAAATCCAAAACAAACAATAATGATTTGAGGACTTTTATTTTAAAGAGGGGCCTTTGTTTTGCAAATCTCAGTGTGCTTCCTGACATTTCCCCCAATGTCATATTTCTATCACTCATGGCAGGGCTGAGGAGAACAAATGCTCTGTGCCAGGCTCTACTGTAGCTGTTATATCTGTTAATGGCTTAATCTTTACCAAATCTTGGAGGCAGGTTCTATTTCTATGTTCATCTTATGGAATCAAAGAGACATAACTTCAGTTCCTAGATTAGGGTTCAGCGAACTTTTTTTGCACTAGGCCATTTAGTAAATATTTTAGGTTTTGCAGGACATATAGTGTCTGTTGCCACTACTCAGTTTTGCCATTGTAGCATGACAGCACCCTTAGACAGTATGCAAATGAATGGATGTGGCCATATTTCAATAAAACTTTATTGACACTGAAATTTGAATACCATATAATTCTTCATGGGTCATGAGATACTATTCTTCATTTGTTTTAAACCATTGAAAAATGAAAGGCCATTCTATTTTTTAATCCTCCTCGGAGGATATGTTTTCTCCAACCAACTGACCCACCTGACCAGGGCATCAACCTATGAACCAGGAAGTCATGGTTCGATTCCTGGTCAGGCCACAAGCCTGGATTGGGGGTTTTATTCCCCAGTAGGGGGTGTGCAGGAGGCCTCCGATCAATGATTCTCTCTTATCATTGATGTTTCTATCTTGATCTCCGTCTCTCTTCTTTTCTGAAATCAATACAAAATATATTTTTAAAAAAGAATTCCTCCTTTATAAATAGTAGGTGAAAAAGATATATTGCTTGGTAATAGAAACAATTATATGTTGGTTGGATCAGTAGGGTTTAATGAAAGACAGCTCTGCACATACATTTATTATAATCCTGATCAATTCTGTTTAGTTCAGTGTGCTTTTAGATTACATAATATTTCATCCAATAATTCTTTTACTTAAAAGCCAGGAGCTGTTTCTTTTAATAATTGCAAAATATATAATGCATAAAAGACTATACAAGACAGTGTATGTAATATATGTATAATTTAAAGAATAGTTGGAGAAATACCCATGACCCTAACTCTGCTTATGAATTGGAATGTTACCAAATGCTTTGAAGTCTCCTCTGTGTCCCTCCCAGGTCACTTCCCTCCCTTTTGCACTCTCTGCTGAACTGGGGGTTATTCATGCTCTCCTTTTGCTTTTATAAATGTTCTTTATATATATCACTACGTTTTACCTTTTGAAAATAAAAATGAATCCCTGTTGTTTTCTGTAACTCATTCTTCTTGGTGGTTAGGGTTATATATTCACCCTTGGGGAATAGTTCAGATGCTCTAAGATACACGTGGGACATTAATGTCAGCCAAAGAGTCTTTGAATGCTGCACAGTCCTGGTATGGAAGTCAGCCCCAGGAGGGCTTTTCACAGCATCTCTATTTGTAGCCCTCTTCTACCCTTGAGGCCAAGACCTTGTGTACCACCCTGGAGGACAGTGCTGGGACTAGTGGCTGAGATTTCCTTTCAAAACTCAGAGCTTTCCAGTGGAAAGGTTGACGATTCTTTCTTACTCAGATGGCTCTGTTTAGGCTTGTTGATGGGGTGACAGGATTGTCACTTTCTACCCTGAGCAAGGAATGTCTCTTACCCCGGTAATCTTTTTAAGTAAGTTGGAAAGAACAGATGCTGCCTTTTATTTCATATTAAGATTGCATTTCCAAGGGCCTACTTATTGGTAACTTGATAACCTTGATTAAGTGTACAGTCACTGGTGTCCTCCGAGTGCTTGCGAGTTTATTATGGAGCCATCAGCCAGGGAACAAGAGCTCAGATTCCTTGGCAGAGGGCTCCTCTCGGTGAGGATTGATGATCAGTCTTACTGATTATTTGTGCAGGGATTTCGCTCTTTACTTAGTTTAGGATATCACATTTTATGGAATGAAGTGACTCCATGTTTCTGTTACTTTACATATTAACTCCCTAATTTTTTGTGTGTGATTTTAGAGGCCAGAGCCCGCCGGTTGCTGAATTTAACTTACTCCTGAAAGCTCACACTTTGGAAACCTATGGGGTGGATCCTCACCCATGCAAGGTAATGCCCCTCACAGGTCGATATTTAAAGATTATGTTCCCCCAAAAGAGTTAATTGTTGTGTATGCCTGGCAGACCCCTCCGAGGATATTTCCACAGCCTAGGCCACAGCACCTAACTGGAAGGGCCAACAGGGGGCTGCAGTCACATGTTTTGGTAGTTGGTTCTCGCTGTTGGACTCTAACAAATTTTTGCTAATTGCTATGTAGTAGCCAAATATTCCTAAATTCACATACATGGATTCATTCACCCATCAAGTGGATGGTTTTACCCCTGAGAAGTCCTAACATTTAGGACTTACTATCCAGTCCCATCTGGGTAAAGAAATGGGTCCTAACATTTATTTTCAAGGCCATTGCCAGCAAGAATGCAGTCTTAAAAAATTAAGAAAGCAAAAGAAAAGATTTACAATTACACTTTGACATCAGGAGTATTTGTTTTTCTTTTTCCTTTACTCCTATTATTTGACAGTCTTTCTCTCAAGCATGAAACCCAGACCAAGTGTATCAGAATGACCTGGGCCCACCCCAGAGCTACTGATGCAGAATCCCTGGGATGCAGCTGGTGAATCAGCCTTTTAAACAAGTTCCCAAGGTGATGCTCATGCACACATTTTCCAGAAATGTTTTATGAGAAGGCTTCTCCTTTCCATATGTTAAACTAAGTGTGCATTAACCAGGCACTAACCCAAGTCCTAAACTAAGCATTTATGTCTGCCAGGCTCTTAAAGGTAATTTTTGAGTCTTACCAGAACGTTTCTTGACTCAGATGGGAACAGATAGTTGTATTTGGTCAAGTGCCAGTCCTATAGCTCTAGGCTCAGGCTCCTCATGAAAGGCAGGTGAAGAGCTCCTAAACTCCTGCTGCCCGGGTCCATCAGGATCTCTTGGGGTGCAGACCAGGCTCTCCCGAGGATTCCAACATGTAGCTGAGGCTGAGAGCCGGTGGTAGTTGTCCACACTGGCACATGCATCTTGTGGTCTCCCCACACAGTTATTTTAGGATATTTGCCAGATGCCCCTTCCTAGTCGTGATATAAATCAGATTATTCCATTTAGTGAATTAGGTTTTATCTACAAACCTTAGCCTCTCTGTTTATTTATTACTTGGAGAGTGACTAGACTTGTTGTTGTTCCTTTGTCTTTATTTATCAATGCTTAGTTTTCCTGGTAGAGACTAGAAGCGAAGTAGGAAATATCTTTATATTAAAATTGCCGGAAATCCTGTGTAGGATTGAATCAACTCAATTAGATGCTCAGGGCTTTGGTTTCATAGCATCTTTGGTTTCAGGGCTAATGACAACCAAGAACAGTTTGTCCACATTACAGGGAAGATCTGAGAACTCAGGCAGCCCCAAAAGGCATTTGGAAGTAGACACACAGTGGTTTAGGACTCATCTGTACTTTCCCAGGAGGTCCCTGCAGAGGCAGAGGGTCTGTTCCTTACAGGGAAAAGCTACATATTCCTGGACCTCACCCAGATTTTAGAAGTAGTAGCCTTGGAAATCCCATCTCAGAAACTCTGTTTATTTTTACAATCATTTAGAATTACCGAAATGAATCCAGGGTGAGGATGAATAAGCATATCACTTATCATTTACTAGGGGCCCAGTACACGAATTCATGCACCTCGAAAGGAACTGTGGGCCACAAAGTTGCAGTGGGCACAGGGAGGGGCGGGTATTGGCCCATCCTCTGAGCCCCTGCCCAGCCCCTCCTGCTGTGGCCCCTGGTCCCCTGTCTGCTGGCAGCCCTGCTCCTGCCACTGCTGTTCCCATCCACTGACCGCTGACAGTGTGGAACGATTGGGGCTGGCACCAGCAGTGGATGCGAGCGGGGCCAGCACTCTCAGTGGGTGTGAGCAGCAGCTGCTGCCTCAATTGCCCCTCAAGAGCAGCGGGAGGTGGAGAAGCCCTCAGGGGCGATCAGGGCCAGCAGCCGCAGCCGTTCACACCCGCTGATGGCACCAAGCGATCGGGTGCGAGCCGGCCTCGTGCCAGCAGCAGGTGCGAGCACCAGGTGGGACCATGGTGTGTGGGAGCAAAGAATTTTCAGTAACCACCAGAGGCTCCCCAATGATAGGGACTGGTGCCCGGCCTTGGTCGGGCGCCCCCACTCACCTGCTCCACCATACCACCTCGGCCAATGACTGCCATATTCCACGCTTTGCCACCTGCTGCCAATACCCGCCATGTTCCACGCGCGCCCCCTGGTGGTCAGCTCACGTCATAGTGACCAGTTGTTTGGCTGTTTGGTTGTTTGGTTGTTCTGCCGTTTGGTCTATTTGCATATTAGGGTTTTATATATATATAGATTTTATATTCCTCAACCCAAATATGTTTCTTTTTTTTTTTTCAGGATTCAACAGGCACAACAACATTTTTGGGATTCACTGCTGCAGGCTTTGTGGTATTTCAGGGAAATAAGAGAACCCATTTGATAAAATGGTGAGTGCTTCTTTGGAAAACCGGCTTATCGTTTTTCTTAATCTTGTTTTTATTCACCACCTTTGATTTTTTTTTTTAAATGTCAGATAGAGTACCTGGTATTCATTTATTTTCCTTGGAACCTCATTACAAAGGGATTTGTTGTCTATAAATGAAACCCAATCTAGGTTGTCCTGTCTTAGGAGGGAATCAGATTTGTCCAGCTGAGGTGTCCACTCAGAGGACCTGGGATGTATCTGAGTTCAGAGGTTCTGTCTCCAGAGAGAGGGTGTCTATTGTTTCTGCACAAGTAGCTTCTTTACTGACCAGAGCTGTGACCAGGGGGTAGGTCAGGGTGGGTAAAGGCTCAAGTTCCTTTGAGCAACTCGGGATCCAGCCCCTCCCATTCACTTCTCTCTGTTCTGTTGAATCCTGCTGCAGACTTACTTTCTGTTATCCAGTGTATCAGTAAAGATGCTTTTGGTCAGAGCAACAGTAATGGCTGCTCTCAATGGCTTACAAATAGGAGGACTGATTAGCTCACATAGTAAGTTGCAGAGATCGGACAGTTCCTTGATCCTTTAACTTAACTGCCCAACAACACTATTTAGGACTTGGGTCTTTCCATTTTCTTCTTTGCCATTACAGGGTGGTAGCTTTTGTCTCCAGGCTCATAAAATGGCATGGTCATGTGTGCAACTGTGGCCTTTACATCTTCACACAGCAGCACCCAAGCCTGGAGGAGAGCAGCCTTCCACGTGTCTGCTATTAAAGCAGGGACAACCTTTTCCGAAGTCCTGTAGGAGACTTTCTGTGTATCCAATTGGGCAGGATTGGGTCGCATGTGCCTACTTAAACCAATCCTTCCCAGAAGAATGGGAACTCCTGACTGGGTGGTCAAATCAAGATTCACCCCCTTGGGACTGGGAAGAGCAGGATCTGCATGGACACGTGACCTTGAGGAAGAATAAAGCCTAGGTTATGTCAATAAAGAAGTGGAAGGATGGAGCGGGGTGGGTGACCCGCAGCACCCACTCTGTCCAGTCAAAGAGCAAAATGGTTTTGGTGAAGAGTGGAGAAGGCTGAACATTATATGTGTGATGGAATATTGGAAAGGTTTAGTCTTGTTAATACCTTTAGCTCAATTCAGTTCCCTCTCTGATGGTCCCTGACAGGTGTGTCACCCCTGCTGTGTCTCTCTGGGTGGCAGACTCACTCCTTTGTCTTGAGCACTTGAATCTGAAGTTCTCTTGATGGGCCAGCAGGCATCTATTCTCAGTCCTGGGGCTGCTGTGTCTCTCTGGGTGGCAGGCTCACTCCTTTGGCTTGAGCACTTGAATCTGAAGTTCTTCTTGATGGGCCAGCAGGCATCTATTCTCAGTCCTGGGTTGGAAATGCTCTCTTGCACTTGCCTGAACCTCAGTTCATGGTTCTATGGCTTCAGGATTTCCTTTGGCACCTCGTTATAAAGTAGCCCTCCCCACCTTCTCCTCTTGACACCCCCTTTATTTCAAAACCTCTCTCCTAGATTAGCATTAGTCAGCTAATGCCCACTCCTCTCCTTCCACCTTCTGCTCTTTGTCATGATCAGCCCTCTCTAAGATGCCCAATTTCTCTAATTATCTTCCTTGCCCTGTCTGTAATAGTCTTTTACTCAATTCATACTTTCAACAATGTTCCAGAATAAGTTCCCTACTGACTTTGGGGAGCACGGGTAATCTGGGGACTTCTTCCATCCCACCTTAGGATGTTAGATTTGCAGGTTTTGAATTGCTTGAGCTCTGGAGTTAGAACTGGACACATCTCAAGTGCAGATTTATTGCAGGTCTCTCCCTTGTTTGGACCTCAGTTTTTCCTCTGCATTGAAGAGTTGAGAAGGACAATCATTTGTTTCTGGGTTCTACCTCCTGGTGGGTACTGATGCCAACCTCATTCTTCTCAGCCTTTGCTAGGCACGTGTATTTCTAAGAGCTATGTATTGTTACTGAAACAAATTTTCTTTTCTTAATCTTTGTGTGTTTTTTAAACATCCATTTTGTCACCCTTGAAAATCCTCTACCTAAATTAAAACATCTTAATGTGCCCTCACTGTTCTCCCCCTCCCACCCTCCAGAGGAAAAGCAGGGGGGGGTCTGTATCACTATCTGAGGAATGAGATCAAAGGAGTAAAAATAGAGTCCTCTCTTCACACATATTTTCTCACCAAGAAGGTGACCTGGGGTCTACATTTCAGGCAGATTTTAATCAAGCAGTTCTTTCAGATGCCCATTCATCAAACTGTCCTCCCAATTCTGAGCGTCTCAATATGTGATGAAATACACTTCTATAAACAGGGAGAACAGAAGTGAGAATTTCACAGTGTGGTGTGTGTGCTGCTTTGAGATGGATGAGGGAACAGATATTGTGAAACCATGTTATTTTATTAACTGGATCTGCAATAACCACATTCTTCCCGCCTCATACAGTGGGCTGGCCCCTTCATGTTGCTAGGGTCGTTCATGTTTATGGGACCTCGAGAGCTCCTTGGAAGTAAGGTGCAGCTCACCTGTAAAAAATGGAATAACTAGTTCTGAGCTGCCTGGGGATATTCTCTTGGGAAGAACATTGCTGTATAATTCTCTTGAGGCTTTTCCCTGCTCATTGGGCCTTCACCGATGGTCAGATAATGTCTTGTTTCAGTGAAGTCTACTTGGCATTTGTGAGCCAGCTGCATTCCCGTGGGAATCCAGGTACCTGCGTCAGTTGCCACTTTATTTTCTTTCTCACCCAAAGAGATTTTCTTTTCTTAGGCCAGATGTCTGCAAATTGAAGTTTGAAGGGAAGACATTTTATGTGATTGGCACCCAGAAGGAGGTCAGATACTGCTTTTCTAACTCTGTTATTGTGTGTGAGTGTGAGTGTGCATGTGCATGCCCATGAGAGAGATTCATGCATAAGATGTGCCTTTGGCATTATAGCCCCCAAAGATCATGACTTTAAAGTTTGTGGTTATAATGGAAGCCACATGCTTAGAATATTTGAGAGGTAAACAAATAAACACTGGGTTTGAACATCTATATATATAAAAGACTAATATGCTAAGTGTCCAACAGTCCGAGTAATGATGTCACGTAGCAACACCCAGCTTTTCTCCTAGCGACTAGCCTCCTTGCAGTTTCTTCAGCCCAGGAACACGACTTGCTTTATAGCTAGGTGGAAACACTTTACACTGTAACCAAATGTCTGTGAAGCATTTTCCCGTGCCTCATCTCATTTGATCCTCACAGAAGTCCTGGAGTAGGTAGATAGGAGACTCAGTGGAATCCTATTTTCTTTTCATTAGCTGGAAAATGGAGATTTAGAAAGCTTAGAAACTTGACCCAACTGAAAAGAAGTAAGAAATGGTGGACCTTGAAAATGACTTTAGGTTTTCTCACTGTGCAGAATGTAGTCAAACACGGATGCAGTTAAATATTTTACCCTTTTTTCTCCCTGCGTGATCTACAATAATAATCTGCTATGTGGTGATATTTATTGCTGTGTTGCTGACAATTACCTGAAAGGGAAGTTGAGGTGCTTCACTGGGTGGAAAAAGTTTAGCTAAATCAGAAAGCAGGTCTAATTAAGCAAGTTTATTCTATATCTATAAAAGGCTAAGCTGACTCACGCATGTGTGATACATATAAAGCTCTTGGCGCCAATCGCATGCATGTGTTTTGATCTGTCATTGTCGATTGTGAATTTGGTTGACACTTCTATTATAGAGAAAGGGCGAATAGAGATATTAAAGTATGTCTTTTAATTAATTTCCTTTCAATGTGCACAAATTCGTGCACTGGGCCCCTAGTTTAAGAATAAAGTCAGTAAACAATGCTGAGTGAGTACCCCTGTGTAAAAAATAGACTGAGATAGACTTGAGATTTAGCAACTGGATTTCTCCCTACCTCTGTAATTTGCCAAAATACAGATTCGTGAGACAACTGAAGAATACTTACGAAGCTTGTAACAACCAGTGATGGCTAGAGTTTTATAAACAAAGTCTATAAGATCTAAGAATCTTAAAATAAAGGAGTCACCAGACATAGGTTGTGTTTACCAGGGAACACATTTGGGAGGAGGCCGATACTGAAACTTTGAGCTTCAGAGCTAGATCTGGAGGTCTGCAGAATCTCCTGACCCTAGTTTTCAGTTCAAGCACTAGTTGTTCAAGGTGGGCAAACACATTTTTGAACTAATCCAAGTTGGATTGAGAGGTGATAAATGCCTGGAGACTTGAAGCTTATGGGGCTGCTTTTTATCATAAACAGGGCCTAGTCAGATTAGTGACGTCTGCAAAAGGGAGAATACCATTTCAACAACACTTTTAAGAACATAGTGATATGCAAGCTACTTGAAAGAAAAAGATAAAAAACATAAACTGTGTTTAACATGCCCTTTTTTGTTTTGTTATTTTTTATTAGAAAAAAGCCATGTTGGCATTCCATACCTCAACACCAGCTGCCTGCAAACATCTCTGGAAGTGTGGGGTGGAGAACCAGGCCTTTTATAAGTAAGTAGCTTTTATTCATTTAATCATAGACTTTAAAACACCCATGGAACCCTTAATGTTTTGCAAATAGTTCCATGTTCATTTCTTTTAATATAGTCCTTTTTATTATATTTAAGTGAATAATGAATTTAGTGCATTGTTCAGGGTGTCTCCTATCACTGTTGACCCGAACAAGTCCTGAGCTCCAGGTTGGGTGTTTCCCATAGAATTGCGGTGGGTTGCTTGTTGTATTGTCATTTCTATTTCCATTCAACATGTCACAGGACCTATTTTTGGTTGGCTTTCTTGCTCAGAAACAGACCTTGAGAAGAGTTTAGTGCAAGTGGTTTTTCTGGGATATGGTCACTAAACATACCAATTGGGGAGTGGGCAAGGGACGTAGGAAAGCAAGCCATGTAGGTGGGCGCTATTGAGCAGGTCACTCTGTGGGCAGCTGAGCTCCGCTCTGCAGGGGAGCTCTGGCAGACTGCAGAACAGGCCTCAAATTTCACCCACTGACCAGCAAAGAGGCTGGGCTGTTTATCTACCAATTCCTCATTCATTTTGGTTAAGGGCCACTTTAGAGGGTGGAGTTATACTCTCTGGCACTTCTGGCTTACTCTCAGCTTGGACTGAATGTACTCTCACAACTGGAAAAAGAAATCTTTGGCAGAGAGTCTCACGTGTTCATAGTTAGAAGCCTTGAGTATATAGAGATGGGAGCCAAAGGTTCATGGGTGGAATGCCATCAGAGTCTGGGATCACAGAAAGGCAGCGCTGGCTGGACAGGACTTCAGAAACCATGCATAAAGCTGTCAGGTTTCCAAAGAGGTTCAAATTTAGGATCTTTCCACTGAGTTCCAGCTTCTCCTCTTTGAGACAGACTTACTGATTGGAAGAGCAGTGGTTATCGATATAGTCAAGAACCTAGTCCGGCCTGCCAGGGTATCAGCACCACTGACTCCTGGAGCCCACCCAGGTGGTTTTTCTCAGCCTCTCTCCCTGCCCCCACCACTGAGATTCTGTCTTCCTCATTAGGCTCATTTCCCTGAAAAATGCTGAGTCTCTGAACCTTCTGGGCTTTGGCTAATGAATATCTTTAAGAGAATGATAGCTTGGATAATAATTTACAAACCCCTTTTAGCCACAGAGCTCTGTAGGCAAAGTCCAGTACGTAAAAGAGATAAAAATAGAGAAGCTGTGGTTGTTGGTGGGGACCAGAATTGAGATTGGGGACAGGAAACCATTCATCCATTTCTTGCTGTTCTCAGGAGCTTGGGTGACCAGTTGTCCCAGTTTGTCTGGCATTTTCCCAGATACGGAGGGCTCAGCCATCAGGAACGAGGTGCCAGAGGAATGCTAGGTGGGGTTGATTGCTACTGACCCACGGACAAATGTAAGGGAGGGGGAGGAATTAGCAAAGAACCCCCAGCAGACAGAATCCCATATCCCAGGAAACCCATCAATCCTGGGAAAACCCTGAGCATAATTTGAAAACCCTTGGGTGAGTTGATCTACAACATGTGGTGCTTCTAGTAGTGACAGGAAGAGGTGATAAAGATCAGTGGATTTCCCCCCACAATCATCTCCACCTCAAGGCATCTGTGTGCTCCTTGCAGTGTTTGATGACTGGTTAAAATGGGTACCCAGTGGCCTTTGAAAAATCAGCATGTCCAGACCCCTCCATCCACATCAGAGCTGAGAAAAAGGAAATGCAAAAGGATTGGTCCTCTCAGTCTTTAGTTGGAGTCTAAAAATTTTTTAACAAGTTATTTTAAAATTGAGATAACACATACCATGAAATACACCCTTTTAAAGTATAATTCAGTGGTTTTTCATCTAATTCATGAAGTGATACAACTATCACTACTATCTAATTCCAGAACATTTTTATCAACCCTAAAAGGAACCCTGCACTCATTTGCAGCCACTCCCTATCTCCAACTCTCTCCAGACCTTGGCTACCACTAATCTACTTTCTATGTCTATGGGCTTACCTATTTTGCACTTTCCCTATAAATGGAATTATAAACTTGCATGGCCTTTTGTGCCCAACTTCTTTCACTTAGATAATGTTTTCAAGGTTTAAACATGTTGTAGCCTGCAGCAGTACTTAATTTCTTCTTATGACTGAATAATACTCCATTGTTTATATATACCACATTTTGCTTATTCATTCATCAGTTGATGGACATTTGGGTTGTTCCCTCTTTTTAGGTATTGTGAATGATGTTGCTATGAATATCCATGTAATTTTTTCCCTGTGGACAGTTCTCTTAGGTTTATACCTGGGAGTGTAACTTTGGGGTCATAGGGTAACTCTATATTTAACTTTTCGAGAACCTGACAAACTGTTTTTGGAGCCTAAGCTTTTGGAACTCTTCTGTTCATCTGTTAATGAAATCATCTGGTTCCTATCAAATAATAATTGAGAGACATTTAGTTAATTATTTTTGAATGGATATTTTCTTGCAGATGAGGGAGTTAATAGATAGTCTTGAAACACAGCCAAAACAAGATAAAAAATAAAGATATATCATGACATTTTTTGTATATTTTATATCTGTATTAGATCTGATCTCTATGATGATAGGAACTAGGTTCTGTTTATCTTTGTATTCCCTAAAGACCCCCAGCATTCAAAAAAGAATTAATGAATCAAGTTGATAAGGTATGGATCTTGTGCCAGGAGATTTGTAGTTCATGATGCAGACTAAGAAGGAAATGCAAATAAAATGCTAGCGGGCATTCCAGGAGGGGTGAGTCTCACTGTGGGGGGAGCTAGGAATTGGAAGGAAGGCTCTTTAAGTTGGAGGGAGGACATTCTGAGTAAGGGAGGATGGTGGGAAGGGAAAGACATACATGGAGAAGATGAGCAGTTACACAAGGCTGGAGCAGAGGGTAGAATGAAATAGAAAGGGAGGTGATGAAAGGTCAGGAGATCTTGGAGCCAGACACAGAGGGCTTGGCCATCATGAATGAGGTGCCACAGGAATGCTAGGTGGGGTTGATTGCTACTGACCCACGGACGAGTGTAAGGGAGGGGGAAGGAGTAGCAAAAAACCCCCAGCAGACAGGCTTTTAGAGCCAAGTCAGAAAGTCCTACTTGGAACAGGCATGGCCTTGAAGATCCTTTGGTGCAATCATGGGATCTCTATCAAGGAATAACTCAAGACATTAATTGGTTGTTTTGCACACATGCTGTTTTATCCTGTGTGAGGGATTCAGTTGGTAGATGGAGTCAAAGGCAAAACCAGAACTGAATGGAGAAGAGGGAGAGAAGGAGAGGAGAGAAGAAACTCCAATCTGGGGGATCTGTTTTGCACATGTTGGGGTACAGTCATTAGCTGGTATCAAGCAGTGAGGTCTGTCTTATAATTCTGTCATGGAATGGGCCAACTAGGCATGTCAGAGAAGTCACTTCCAGTTGTCTGTGAATGCCTCAGGTGGCCAGGAGTGTAGTTGAGCATGGTGGCAGTGTGCAGAGTTGACCAAGTCTTTGCATCAGCACCTCTGCTGGTGTTAGGCCAGGCTGCCCCTCTCAATTACTAGGACTCCTAATCCCTGAGATTTCCCAGAAGCTTTTGTTCCTTAACCATCCCTGTTCCTTAGGAAGAGGGAAAGATGTTGCTTATTCTGAGCCAGCTGTGTGACCTCGCTGGCCCAGCCTTCTCATCTGTAGACTGGAGGGGCAGGACTCAGGCATGCTTTGCTTCTCTCACTGTGGCCTGGTGTTAATGAGCGTGGGCTTCTTGGCTTTAAATCTTGTCTCTGTCACTTCCTAGCAGTGTGGTCTGGAGCAAAGCACTTGAACTCTTTGAGCCTCATCTTTATTTTTCATCTGTGAAATGTGATCGGTAATACCTGCCTTGCAGTGTTTGGTTCTGCCAGGCACATGAACCATCGATAAATGATAGCAGCTGCTGTGACTGCCACTACTGCCCCCTCCACTAGCAATGGAAGTTTCTGGAGTGCCAGTTGGTTGCAGAGCCCAGTCTGTTTGATTCTGAAGGGCTCTGATTCTGTTAACCTCAGCGAGGGCACCTGCTTCCCCCACAGCACCATCCCCTTCCCGGGCAGAAGTCCTGGCCCTGCTTCCAGCCTGCCCCACTGGCACTGTGTTTAACGGTTTCGGCTGGCAGAGCAAGGCCCCGATCTTGTTTCCTGGATTGGGGTGTTTGTCCCTCCTTTCCACTTCACCTGCCATGGGAAGAGGGAGGCCCGGAGGCCAAGAATTCCCAAGTGTGCTTTCACCTCATGAATGCGCTGCTCGTTGTCAGCTGGCCAGGGGCCACCGATGAGGTTTGAAAGCCCTGGCTCTGAGCTCTGCTGCTGGGAACAGAGCCCAGAAGCAGAAACTCTGACTTTCCCTCCTGCTTCAAAGCACACGGGATCCCTGACACAGACTTAGTCACATTTCAGAGCTTCCTTTATGCCATGTGTTTTCTAGGTGCTCCACCCCCAGAGCACCAGAGCTCGCCATGGCTGGGAGCTGGTTCCCTGAAGGCACACAGGCCACACCAAGGGGTTCAGTGGCTCACTCACTGGTGTTTCCACTCTGAACATCATCTGCTTTGTGCCGTGCACTGTGCTGGCATGGAAGGGAAACAGGAAGTGATTGCCAATGGCTATGGGACAGTTCTTTTTGGGGTGATGAATGTATTTCTTAATGAGTGTTTAGCTTTGTGAATTATACTGAACACCACTGAAGTGTACAATCTAAAAGGCTATACCTTATGGTATGTGAATTATATCTCAATAAAGCTGTTATTTTGAAAAATTCAGAAATGGGTGAGGGGGTGTAGATATTGGTAGTGATAAAAATTTCCCACATGGTACAAACTTGCAATCTAGGGTTAAGGGCTCTAATGGAGTGATTCTCAAAGTAGGGTCCCTGCACCAGCTCCAGGTACCTGTAACATGTTAGAAATGCATTTCTGGGCTCATTTAGGCTTATTGAATCAGAAACTTGTGTTTTCTGAAGCCTGCCAGGTGGTTCTGATGCCCCTTGAGGTCTGAGAATCTGCATGGCTAAAGCCTTATTTAAAAAATACAGGGAGACTTGGTTTTGCAGCCTGGTTGCTCCTGCTTCTGTCATGTGACCATAGTTAAGTGCTAACCCGTCTGTGCCTCAGTTTCCTCATGTAAAAATGTGGATTGCTTCCTCCTGGGAGAGAGCTGTGGGCATACAATGAATTAGTATGTTTAAGGTGCTTTGGATGGGGCACAGCCCTTAGTAGGTGCTCAATAATAACATGTCGTTATTGTTATGATTACTCCAGAAGCTGTAAACCATGTTAAAATGGGAAATTGTATTATTAATTCTAGAGGTGGCCTCTTAGGGGGCCACCCATTGTCTCCCAAGCACCTGACCTCCATGCCCAGCCTCTGCAGCAGCAGGTGCCAGAGGAGAAAAGTTAGAAGCAGGGCGAGGGGAGTGTGCTCCTGCAGGGCTGCTCTGCGTGTACCGTATGATGCCAACACTTAGCGAACACTTTGCATGCTCCAGGCATTGTCCGCATGCATGGCGCATCTCACATCCATTACACCATTTAAAACACAGTTCAAAGGCAGGGCTGGGCTGGCAAATCCCCTAGTGCCATGGGTCTCTGGGTCCTGTGGCTGCCCTGGCAGACCTGGGATCGGGGGTGGTGAAGAACTGTGACAACCGAAAGATAAGTCATGACTAGGCCACCATTTGAACTCACAGTTGTTGTCAAGTCAGGTAAATTGGGGACTGTCTGGATTGCTCTGTGAGGTCAGATGTTTGAGAAGAGTCAGTGCTTCTATGCTGGGGTTTTCACAGGAAGGTGGAGGCGGAAGTGGGAGAAGGCAGGTGGGGAAGAAGGCTGGAGGCGAGAGAATTGCTACTTTAACTCGGTTGTGCATTCATTGTCTTTGGTGGGAAGAAGACTTTGATTCTGGGCTTGTTGACATGAAAGCCTGGGAGGCAGAGCTCTGGGACATGCCAGCTAGAGTTAGAGCATGAAGGCGCTTTCACTAGCGTCCAGGGTGTTTGACACGGTTCCCAAGAACTTGTGATTTAGAGAATTGGCTTTGGTAGCTCCATAGTGAGAAGGCAATGGAGGGGTTTTGAGGGTGATATTAGGGAGACAGGGAGGGAGGTGGGGAGGGAGAGAGGGACAGAAACTATTATACCGGGTGGGGCAAAAGTAGGTTTACAGTTGTTTGTATGGAAAATAATACAAGAATAAACTGTGTTTTGTGCACTTACAACTGTAAACCTACCTTTGCCCACCCCGGTATAGTGAGCAGGTTATACGCTAGGTGCTTTCAAATCATTTAATCTCATTTCATGGAATTGCTACTTTAACTCGGTTGTGCATTCATTGCCTTTGGTGGGAAGAAGACTTTCGCTCTGGGCTTGTTGATGTGAGAGCCTGGAAGGCAGAGCTCAGCTAGAGTTAGAGGATGAAGGCGCTTTCACTAGCATCCAGGGTGTTTGACATGGTTCCCAGGAACTTGTGATTTAGAGAATTGGCTTTGGTAGCTCCATAGTGAGAAGGCAATGGAGGGGTTTTGAGGGTGATATTAGGGAGACAGGGAGGGAGGTGGGGAGGGAGAGAGGGACAGAAACTATTATACCGGGTGGGGCAAAAGTAGGTTTACAGTTGTTTGTATGGAAAATAATACAAGAATAAACTGTGTTTTGTGAGCTCACAACTGTAAACCTACTTTTGCCCACCCCTGTATAGTGAGCAGGTTGTACGCTAGGTGCTTTCAAATCATTTAATCTCATTTCATCCTCTTCAGAATTCTATGAATTAGGTTTACAACACCTTCTCCCTTAAAGATATTTGGGGAAAACTGGGACTCCGAAAAACTTGGCTTGATTTAGGTCACAGGACCAGAAGCAGGTAGGAAGCTGGGCCTCTGCTCTTTCAAGTAAAATGACACCTCTTGGGTCACTTAATGAGAATGTGGGAACTCAGAGGTTCTTAAATGCCAGTGGGTAGCCTTTGCATGGCCTGGGGTGTTTGATAGCAATGCAAACTGCCGGCCCCTCTCCTGACCTGCTGAGTGAGACTGTAGTGATGGAGCTGAGGACCAGTGTTTGTATCCCTCCCAGCAGGTGCTGGGACATCTGACTTTCTGTTTCCATATCCTCGTCCTTCCAGCCTACTGTCTGTGTCTCCCAGCTCCCAGGGAGTTTATGTTGCTCAAGCTCTAAGATACACTCCCCTGTTACAATTCCAGATGTTATCGGGAGCCACCTGGGCACTTGAGGGGCAGGGAGTTGGTGGTAGTGCTCTTGGGAGAGTATCTCTGAGCAAATCAAGTGACACCAATAATCACCCAGGGTCACCAGCTGCCAGAAAAAGGCCAACGCGTTCTACCCTCCTCTCATCCTGCTCAGAAAGGGATGCACTTTCCCTGCGAAATGTGTCTTTTGACCTGTTTTCTCGAGGCACTTCGAGGGTTTATGTTCCATGTAGCGCAGAGGCCTCCCACCCGTCTGGGTGTAGGGAGAAGGCAGCGGCCTCCCTGAGGGGCCTGGGACGGTGGGAGCTGAGGCTGAACCAGTGGAGACCAGGGCCGCCCACCTCTCCCCAGAGCAGGGTCACTGGAGCTGCTGTGCCTCCACACCTGGGGGCTTCGGTGTCCTCTATACCTGGGCACAGAGTTGAGTTTGAATTTCAAACACTCCAGTGAAGGCTCTTAATCTTTTTAGCAGACTAAGAGCCTTAGGAACCTAGTAAACACTAACAGCAACAACAAAATCAACGAAAACAAACAAATAGACGCTCTTTAAAAGTTTCTCTTCCTTTGACTGCTGAGGACTTGGGAGGAACACCCTGCTGAGAAGATAGGGAGAGGGAGGTGGTGATGGCCCTTTTCTCAGGCCCTGTGGTAAATGCCAGGCCACCCACAGCTCTCTAGGGACGGGATGCAGGAGGCAGAGGGACCCAGAGCAGGTGGGTCCTCACAGGAGGACGAGGCTCAGTAGGATATTTTCCATTGAGCCAGCCCCCTGGGGACTTTTCTCCTCTTTACCAGGTGTGGGCTGTCACCCGGCTCTGGCCAGCAGTCAGCACAGCAGGTCTGTCCCAGGTGTCAGAAGTCTGGGGTGTGGCTCTCACGTGGTCTCACCTGTCCTTGGGCTTCTACTCCATGTTCTCTGGGCTCTGCCTTGACAGGAGCCCCCTCCACAGGCCTGCACCCCCTCTGCTGTCCACCTCGCTCTCCCTCTCATCCTTTGAAACTGGCTCAGCCTGTGTGCAGAGGTGGAGGGAGAACGGTCTTTTTGGCCAAAGACTGTAACTATAGTTTTCTATTTTTCTGAGGACAAAGACCCAAATCTTTAACAGAGACAGCCTAAGGTCAGGTCCTGCTAAATTGGGGAGGTGGTGGGTGGTACAGGAATGTGTGTGTGTGTGTGTGTGTGTGTGTGTGTGTGTGTGTGTGATCGCCAACATTTAAAAAGAATGAAAAGAGAGAACATAGAAAAGATCAGATTGCAAATACTGTGAGAGTTGACAGTTATTTTGTGAAACTTTCCTTCAGGTTTGTGTGTGTGCTCAAGGACTCACACAATAAAGTGTCTTTCTTTCTGGCAGTCACAAGTATCTGATAGCTACACTTCACACCGTGTCCCGTGTGGGCTTTCCTATGTCACTACCACTGCTTTGCTTTCTCTTAAAGGTATGCCAAGTCCAGTCAGATCAAGACTGTGTCCAGCAGCAAGATATTTTTTAAAGGAAGTAGATTCTGATACAGCGGTAAGGTTGCCAAAGAGGTGGTGGAGGCGAGTTCCAGAATCCAGAGGGATCCTCCGGAGGTGCACAGAACCAACATTTCCCAGAGTCGCAGTTCCCACTCCTTGAACAAACAGCTCATTATTAACATGGAGCCCCTGCAGCCCTTGCTGCCTTCCCCCAGCGAGCAGGAAGAGGACCTTCCCCTGGGTGAGGGTATTCCTTTGCCCAAAGAAGATGACATTTCTGCCCCCTTGATCTCCAGCTCACCAGTGAAAGAAGCCCGGGAGTATGAAGACCCCCCCAAGCGAAGAGGAAGATAAAATAAAAGAAGAGCCTTTGACTATCTCTGAACTGTCATACAACCCCAGTGCAAGCCTGCTCCCCACCCCAGTTGATGATGATGAGCATGACATGCTCTTTGACTGTCCATCTAGGCATGAGTTGGAAAGAGAAGACCTAGATTCATTTGAGGAACTGGAAGCAGATGAAAATGCCTTTTTGATGGCTGAAGAAGAGGAGCTAAAGGAAGCTCACCGAGCTTTGTCATGGAGCTATGACATTCTGACCGGCCATATTCGGGTGAACCCACTGGTCAAGAGTTTTTCCAGGCTCCTTGTGGTGGGCCTGGGGCTGCTGCTCTTTGTATTCCCCCTGCTCCTCCTCCTTTTGGAGTCAGGTATTGATCTCTCCTTCTTATGTGAAATCCACCAGATGCCAGAGTTTGAGCAGTTTCACTATGAATATTAGTCCTCTCAAGGAGTGAGTGGCTGGCAAAGTAAACCTCATTCTCTACATGCTGGGTTGCTCATAAAATACATATCTCATATGACTAAGGGCTATATTCAATATTAGGGATGTGTATTTCTCAAGCAAATGCCTGGTTCTGAATGGTCAAGGAGCCGTCAACACGTGTTCCTTACTCAAAATTGATTATTCAGACCTTTAAGTTAGCTTTTCATAATTCACCACACTTAATAAGTTTAAATCAAACACAGTAATTTCAGTTATAGGTCAGGAAGTTGGCCTCTAAATAACCCAAAATGTTTATTTTTATTATATCACAAGCAGACTCTATCTATTATAATACATAATACATTGAGCTGAATTAGATTTCCCCCCTTTTTAATAGTTATCATCATTATAAGATATAAGGTTCAGAATCAGAATTTTAGTGAAAATTCAAGAGAAAGTTTTTGAATATAATCCTTAGTGAAAATAATGTCCTCTAACCAATGCCTATACTGTTAAATTAATGCTGGGTTTTTGTTTTTTTAAAAATATTTTTATGTGTTCAGAATATTTTGGTAAATTTTTAGCAAAAAAAACAAAGAAAAAAAGAAAAAAAAAAAAAGAAGCCTCCTGGAGTTATTGTACAGACTGTAAGACTAATGCACAAAGGGTATGTTGGGAATTTTTTAATGTTTTGGCCCAGGTTTGTTTTTAAAAATAATTTTGGGTAAAAAAAAAAAATCCCATAATTTGTTGTTAGCTGCATATGAGATAGAAAATAGGTAGACTGTAGTAAGTAGGCTCCTAAAACAAATGATGGAACTGGAGGATGTAGAAACTGAGCATCAAATGGACCACAGGGTCCATTTCAAAAGTATTTGGATGGGAGGACTTGTTACTTTCATTTGCATTCTATCCATATATTTTGGCTAAGGAAGCAAAACTTTAAAGGAAAAAGTAAAGATATATGCCAATTAATTGCATGTTATTGTACATTTATCCAAGAGTGGAAGCAGATGTTGGACAAATGGCAAGTAGCAAAAACTGTTTTGGTGAGGCTGGTAGGCAAGTGGTGGTAGGAAGGTGATCTATTTTATGGAAGTGATGGTTGTTGGGGTCCAACCCCAGCAGGTCCAGGGGTCCCCAAAGGTGTGGACAGAGTCGGCGAAGAAGGAATGACATGGAGACAGCATTCAGTTGATCAGCAGCCCAGCCAGGATCTCTAGCCAGGATCTCCAGCCAAGTTCTGTCCAGGTTCTCTTGCCATGTTCTCTCACTAGGTTCTCCAGCCAGGTTCTGTTTTTTATTGTCTTGTTACATCTGTATTTATACCATTTGATTTTAATCCTGTCAATTTCTATTCCAAAGGTTAGGGCGTTTCTTATCTCCATTCCAGGGA